ATTATTGCTTTTCTTTCACAATATGAAATACTTTCCAAGGAACTGAGCGGAATGATTGCATACCGTCACATCGTAATCGAGGAAGTTGAAAATATATTTCACTTTTTTATTGCGCTTAGACACTATCAAGACCTTATAGAGTGCGATGAGAATTTGTTTGAACATTGCAATAGATTCTGAAATGTTCAATCGTACGTTCGTCGGTCAGTTTGTCTGCTAATGGCATTCGCATAATCGCAAAACCTGAAATTGTTCATGATCTTCATGAAAATCTAAAAGTTCATGACAAAAAATGAACGTGATCCGCCCACATGCACTCGAATATTAGCCAAGATACTAAAACTACATCGTAATATAATATATAGCTTGGATCAAAACCCTACACTGTATATTATAAAGTGCAGGCAGAAACTTATGCACAAATAATTATACGAATTAAAATAAAAGCTCTTTATATACTCGATTACAGTGAAAAGGTTAAGAGAATTAATTAAGAAAAATAAGTAAAAGTACTGTAGTGATCGGAAAACTAATCTGACGCATAAAATTTTCAATAACGCTTGTCCTTGGGCCAAAACATGTCAGTTAAAAACATCTCGGTTAGATGTCTTACAACAGAAAATATCTTGCACACAACAAAAAAAGACAGACAGAGCGACAGACATACAGACGGACGGACGGATAGACAAACTTACATCGATGGAGAACGTGATGCTGAGTAGATTGGTATAACCGCACAAATTTTATACATTCGGTATTACGTATGTCGTGTACGGTATAGAAATGTGTGCGTTTTGTGTCGACAATTGTAATACCCAGAAGGCATTGAGGTGAGGAGTCTCATCTTTTATGACGTTGATCGTAACAGAATCATTTTCTGAATCTATGTAAGCTTATCTGTCCGTCGGTCCTTCTGATGTCTGCCCCTGTCCGCATCAGTACCTGACCTGACGGATAAGAACTTTTCTGTGTCTAACTCTTTGTGGTAAAACCAATCCTATCCAATAGACGTAAAATGAATGCATTTCGATTCTCTACGTTGTGATGAAAATAATAGCGAAAATCATATTTAATTCGAGTCGTTATTGAAGACAATTTTCATTAATAGTTTTTACTATTCACATAAATGACCAATTAAGTTAACTTTGTGTGTGTGATATGATTTTAAAATGAAAACTCACTTCTTCGTTAATAATACGAGGATATATGTGTATGTATGTATATATATGTATGTATGTAATATTGGCAACTTTAGCCTACTTTCCAATAAGTAATATTCTGCCAACACTATCGCTATAAAATATTGCTTATGTGTGTCTCTAAAGCGCTTCATATCGCATTGGCATTTTGCTAAGCGTTTATTAGAGCTATCAGCTTTGCTGCTTCTGTTCC